AAAGCATGTATTCTTTTCAAGAGGTCTAAAAATTCTTCCTGGCTGATGTACCTTAAGCACGATAGATATTTACTACAGATAAAGGAAAGGTTTTGCCTTAGCCTAATTGATTGAAGCACAGCATGGGCTCTGAGCAAGATCATTCCCAATATTTCTAGCTGTTAGAACCTAGCTGTTCTCGCTGCTGCAGAATGGAGTTGAGCAGACCTGCTTCTGTGAGGTTCGTGCCACTTCAGGAGTTGACCTGATGGTTGCACCAGCCTTTTGTTCCTAGGGACTGAACTGAACTATCCTAGACATTACACCATGGGTCAATGACCAAGCAAGAGCTGCGGTCAAAAACACCAGTCTCCTTATCCTCTTTTTTTGCCCTCTTCAAATCCCATGCATCTTTCAATTCAAAGAAGCTGGACATAGCTCCCATTAGTCACTTCACACTAGAGAAGGGCTGTCACAGAACCAAAGGTTCCTCTACTCATACAGGGACGTTATTTTAGAGCAGTATGGCAAGTCTGCAAATCTAGACCCTATGTATATCGGGCTATCAAGAAATGTTGCATTTTTCTCTTGAGATTATAATCCAGATTCTCATATATTTTTAAAATGAAAAGTTTCATAAACATAACATAATGTGTTAAATTATTCCACAAAGGATTTGGTCCAAAACCCACCTTTCTAGTTTCCAGCTGAGCTTCTTCTTGGCAGCACTGCCTGCAGAACGGATCCAATTGATTCAGATTGAACTGTCCAAGAAGGTTGCAAGAACTGCATAGCAAGTTACTGGAGAAGCCCAGCTCTCTGCAAGCTTCTGATGACAACTGTGCTCCATATACACTTATCTGAAAATCAATACAGTGTTATACTTTAGTATTAAATTAGTTGTTTAAAAAAAGGAAGATTTTAAATGCTTTAATGATTAGGAAGAACAACTAAGTCTCTTGTGACTGTTTTACAGTAATGCCCAATGGTCTGCCCATAAGTGCAAAACACCACCTTATTTTTGGTCTTAAACTAACAGTGAATTCTAGACACTCATAATATGTATATTTCAAGGTATCAGACCTGCCAAAATTCATTTATGTACACTTCTGACAACTCTACTGTTTTTTGCTAGCTCCAAATTTAGAAAAAAGCAAACATAACGAATCAGCTGAAATGCACATGGATACAGCTCTCTAAAGCCTGCTCTTTCAAAACAGTTTCAGTAAATTTCATATCACCAAGAACACACTTGGAAAATAAGTATAACAGCTAAGCTTGGGAAAAGCACAACCAGGGAGTGATGAAACAGACCTAACTGCTCAACAGGGCATACAAGTAGGATTTTATTTTCATATTTGCATTAATGTTACAGGAAAATCGCATACTAAAAGTGGAAGTGTAGATAAAACCCTGCAATTCTGATTTACTAGTAATAGATTAAAATAGGCAACTCAATTACATGGCTTCCATGTAAAACACCAGTTCTGTTTTTAATGAGCAGCAAAACCAATTTTACTAGCTATCCCAGCACTTAAGTGATATTTGGGTTTTGTTTTCACATTCCCACTTCCCTACACAGGGGGGGGTGGGGCAGGGCAGGGAGCAAGAGAGGAGATTAAGAAAGGAGAGAAAGGAGGCAGTTTTCCCAGATGCTTCTCAGTCTGGGATAAAGACCTTGGGCAAAACCCACAACATTTAAAACACACACAAAACAATCAGCAAGCATCTCTGTTCAGAGAAGAGTGAGATGATGCTAGCAAACTGGACTGGATGATAACAGACCAAGAGGCAGAAGAATTATGCTGGGCCAAACAGAAAAATACAAAAGAAAAATTAAGCTTGTCCTGCAGCAAATCAGACTTCTCTTCACATCCACCCATCATTTAACATATACAGCATACCCAAGCAAGGTAGAGACAAAACCCATTTCCTCCCCTGAAGTGGCCAACCCATAGCCAAAGACATGTCACCGATGTGACAGCTAGGAAGTGTTATGGATTAGGGATTGGTAGAAAATATATTACGTGCCTCATTATTCTGTTTCTCTATAGCTGCTAAGAAAGTTGAAGCATGAACAGAAGAGTATAATACACAGAAAATTATTTTGAAATTACTATTCTGTCAGACAGAAAGCTATTTTTCTTCTTCCTACAGGACACTGCTAAAATAATTTCTATGTATGACAGAACGCAAGCAAAAATGGGACCCTACTGTACCGGAATAATCTATTATCTATCCTTTCTGAGGGATACTGGCAATAAGAAATATAACACCACCACCACAGTAGTATAGAAAATCTAAGGAGGATGCCAAACACTGCCAAAGCTACATTTTAATTATTGTTCACTTATTAATGATGATGACAGTAGCTAAAACAATTTTTTTGCACCTTGCTGCTTGCCATCCACCCCTTTTATGCTTTACTGTCATCTTTTCCTCACTTTCAAATCTGTTCACCTGGGAGCAAAAATAGTGTTACTGGCACCGTCACTTTGCTTCCACCAGCAACACTCCTCTTTCCCCAGCAGAGCTCTAGAGCATCTGCGTATATAAGGCAAATATTCTCCTGTTTTTTTCGGGTGGGGGTGGGGTGTGGAACACAACACCAACCAAAGAACAAACAGCGTATGAAAGCAAGTAAAGTCTCCATTACAAGAGAATTCCTCAGTGAAGAAGTTCTAGTTACATAGCAAGCTCAAAACAGCTTGAGAATAAAACCATAGGGAGGGGGAGGGGAAAGAGGAAGAAACTGTCTCTCCCTAGTATTTTTCCTCAATTTTTAGTACCATAACTACTGTACTATCCTGAAGTATACTAGTTATAATAAATGTCTCTGTTTAGGATTAGAAAAGAACTCTCACATTTCAGAAGCTAATTTCCCATCAGAACAAGAAAATTTCAGCTACTTGGCCAGTGACAGGCCTCATTTCAGCAGCATGCTCTCCTTTAAAGCTTTGACTACAAATACACATTACAAGACTGCTTTGCTTTCATACTAGATAATTTCATATGTTATAAGCAAATCAGCATCAATACAAATTGCTTTAGGAAATACTTAATAGTTATCAGAGCAAAACATTTGAACAGGTCTTTTGTATAACCTCATGTCTCTGGAGCTCAGGTGGGTCAGAACTTTAAGAGCATCAGGTGCACTAAAATAGAGAAAGCTGACCTCTCTGGAAAACCTCGAGGGACAGCGTTCCACAGAGCAACCTTCAGTTAGTCATCGAAAGCCACCTAGCTTCACTTTCCAAACCCATTCTTAACTTTGTTACTAAGGATAACCCGGGTCATGAGATTTACAGCAACACACAAATCCCAGTAAAAGTGGGCGAGGAAGCCTGTAAATTTATTTCAAGAGTCACTGCAACACCCACACCGATCGCCACGTTGTCCGAGCTAACAGGGCAAACCGGGGCCGAGGCGAGGGACACGGCGGAGGGGCGTTTAGGCAGACTCTCGCGGTCTGGAGGGGTAGCGGCGGCGACAGCAGGAGGGAAGAGGGCAGAAGCGGAGAAGAGCCTCCGACAAAGCGAGCGAAAGAGGCGGACGCGGAGGTAGGAGAGGGACGAGGTACGGGACGACGCCTCGGGGATGGGATGGGCAAGGCCCGCTGCCTCCGCCTCCCGCTAATGGACACGTCTCACTCCCGCCCCCGCCCGCCTCCCAGCCTCTCTCTTTCCCTCAGGAAATCGCAACCGCACTCAGCCCCGAGCGCGAATGAAGGGGAACGGCCTCTCACCGCCTGCAGCCCCACTAACAACCACAACCAGCAACGCCCCGGGGCCGGTAGCTCGCCGGCCGCCGCCATCTTGGTGCCGGAACGCTCCTGCCCGCGTCGCCGGGAGGCGGCTGAAGGACCTCACCCATGGCGGATACCCGGCACACCGCCTGATGCGGGGGAGGGTAGACTCGCTCCCAACCCCCGGCACCACAAGCAGAAACAGCTAACTCGGAACCTCTGCGGGAAGTCTAGAGCAAAGCTGCTTTAGTCTGTTCAGAGTAGCGCTTCGCAGGGAGGCAAGAGGAGAGGCCGTTGCCCCGCCTCAGTCAGGCACTGCAGAAACAACCCCGAGTAAGGCCCTTGCCCGTTCCGGAGAGCTGCTGCCAACCGGCAAACCGGCATATAGGCCCCTAGACCCGGCGATTGACAGCCGGTCTGAGCAATACTATTGTGTCTTTCCCAAGTGCCGCGGTGCCTGTGCCCAATGAGGGTGGGCGGATGGGCGGGTCTTCAAGGAGGGCCTCCCAATCACGAAGGGTCGCATGTAGGCGGGACACCGCCTCGGTCCGGCAGCTCAGAGCCGAGGGGGGAGGAGGAGGAGCCAGCTCCCTGCGGGCGGGGCGTCGCCTGAGCGGGGCCAATCCAGTTGCGGGAGAGGCGGGGTGGCGGTAGCACCGCCCAATGGCGGAGGGCGCGGGGGCGTGTCCC